AGAGAGAGAGAGAGGGGAAACAGCAAAACGAAACGATTAAGCGCTTTAAAGAGAAGTCTTTCGGTCACAGCCTGTACCATTGGGTGTTTCGAATGATAACGCACTACTACGGGCCTTGTTTTGGGTAGTGTCGTAGCTTGCGCAACGAACGCCCCGATGGGGGAATGGATAATGGGCGTGAGTGAGTGATAGGCAAACAAATTGCCATACAAATACGTGGTCTAGTATACGCGCTTCTTATCGTTCAGTTCTTTGTTAGCATCCATAAATGTTGAGCTTTATGGATTGTCTGTGTTGATCTTTCATTCTCTAGGGAACTTAGTGGTGTTGCAAATGTGGAAACCGGTTATTTGGGAGCAGGTTTCCAATGCAAATTGCATCCTTTGTGCTTATACATAAACTTGTTGCACCACTGACACACTTATTTGCAACCCCAATATAACTCACAGAACAACCCCGAGAGCATGCCCAGGCATATTTTCACAACAGAATGCAATAATCAGAGCTGCTGCTGTTGCTGCTACTGCCTGTTTCAAGGATTAGAACCTCAAAAGCACAACGAAAACAAACAGCAACCGGCGTCAGGAGTAACCGGTTCTTATTACGTCTTCGATTGCATAAAACTCTGGCCTCAAGGTTACCCACTTTGGTGGAGTGCCTCGCCCTGCTGCAGGGTTGCTCAGCGATTGGGAGGAGGGGAGTATGAGGAGACTTCGGCCTGGACAGGTTTGCCGAACCCTGGCATTGACATTGACATTGCTGCCATTGCCATTGAAACGAGACGGCCCAGGAGCAGCCAATGAGTGCAAGCGTTGCCACATGGCCGCAGGATGGAGAGCTTTTGCCTTCTCAAGTTCAATGCTAAGCTTCAATTATTCTACCGGCTGGCTGGGCTGTCCTTGAATTAGCTTCCGCAAGACCACGCAAGGGAAAGAGAAAGAGAGAGATAGAGACGCCGGGGGAACCAGACCAAGGCATTAAATCAAATTAAAGGGCATGACGCAATTTCTGAATGAGTGACGAGCCTTCGAGGGTCTCGGGTCTCGAGTCTCCGCGCAGAGGAAGTGAGCGAGAAGACAACAAATTGTTTACGTTTTTTGGCAAGCCATTTTAAATGTTTTTGCCTGCTCAACTCTTTCATTCATCAACATCACCAAACTCCACTCCACTCCGTTCCAAGACTTGCTCAAATTTCAAAACAAAAACTGGACTTAAGTTGTTTGTTGTTGATTTTCAATTTGCGTCGTAGTTTTCAGCGCTTTGCCTGAATGCCCTGGCGGCAAGAATGTTCCCACAGAGAGGGAGACACAACTGTGAGGGAGTCTCGCATAGCAAAATATTTTCGTTTTGCAACAATTTGTGGGCTCTTGAAAATTAGCTGCTGAGGCCCACATTTTGAAGCGGAAATAATAATGTAATTGAAGATTGGTGGGTAAAAATGAACTCTTTCCATAAACAGGAAGCGAAATGAAGCTTTAATGGTGATGTCGCAAGAGAAGTCTCTGTATGGTTATGTTATTCATAAAAGAGAGGTACTCCAGAATTAATGTTCCCCTGCGGTTTATTTGCTGGCCAACAATTGAATCATGATTCACCTATATTTTGGCTCTGCGCTGGTATCAGAAGTGCCAAAGTACAAACCAGCATGAAGACAACATTAATTAAACATCAAGTTCCGAGCAATTATAGATGTACGATAGATAGATATGTATTATTAGAATAGTCAGTTATCTGTCGCCTGACAAGAGTAGAAGCATTTAAAAATTGTCCATCACGTCAATGACGTTATCTTAAGTAATCTCTAGAGTTAAGTTCGCTTTCAAGTCGAGCTGCGACTATGGATCTTTGGGAAATAATCTAATCGGCAACACGATAAGGCAGCTAAAATTGTACGAACTTGATCTACATCCCTTTGGTTTAATAATTATAGGTTTAATGGATCCTGCTGTTGTAATTAGCCCAAGCGGCAGGTAACTTAGAATGATTTACCCGAACAAATGCTCTGACAGGTCGATGAAAAGCCAATTGGCTTAAGGCCAACTGCATATTTTGTGAGGGAAATGTGAACAAACAATATAAACGCCTAACCCAATTAGAGAGGCCTCTGCCCCAGCCACAAAGGGCCACCGGGGTGGTGCCGACACCAGTTGAGTAGGCGAAAAGAAACTGAAACCGAAACTGTACTACGTGAAAAGAAGCAGAGTGCCGCGCAGTCAGCCGAGCGGTAAGGCGCATAGAGGGGCATGTGGTATGCGGGGTGGTGTTCGGGGGCAGAAACAAGGTCAGTTTGCCAAAGCGCAACGGGTGCAAGCAGCAATTGCAAAAGCACCTGCTGCCAGAGTGCGGCGGCGGGTTCAATGTAACTTGTCGCATGCGTTGGCATTGAAGTGAAAGCTTTGCAGAGCTTTCCAAGGAGAGAATAAGAAACAATGCACCGGTTCAAGCTTACAAGAGAGAGAGAGAGAGAATGAAGGAGAGTGCGTGCGAGAGTGTGTTACGCAGGCAGCGAGAGAGAGAGAGAGAGAGAGAGAGTGGGACACACAGAGAAAGGCCACGTGGGAGAGTGTGTAGGGTAGTTCGAGTCCCTGCGAGAGCGGCAGTTCAAGGAAGTTTAAAGTCGTTCATTGTTCCCCCCCACCATGCTCTTTGTTGCCCTCCTCCCATCATTGTTTTGTTTTTGCACAAATTATTGCGTAATTGTTTTGTGTCTAGCAGTATCGATGATTCACAGCTAAACGCTGCGTGTCAACGCCTGACCAAAGACAATGACTAGTTACAGTTACAGTTAGAGCAAGAGCCATTTAACGATTGACAGACCGTTTAAAGTGCGTGACGAAACCGCAAAGCCGCTGTTAGGGGGTGTGCTCTGGAACGGCACACGAATTGTGGCACAATAAAAGCTTTCGATTAAAATTAAGTGAACGCCGCCGCCTCACTCATGCACAATTGTTGTTTGGACAATTTTGCGGGGCACGCTGTCCAATTTACGTTAATTGAACAGGCACACGTCTCTCGTTGCAATTGTGGGGCGCCACACAATCAACGAATCGCATCTACAATGCCCGCCACACACATCTTTGGATACATTCTAAATATAGCCCCAAGCAACAGAGAGGAGAGCCAACCAGCCCCGCTGGGGTTTGTTCATAATCAGGCGACGAAAACGTGAAACACTTCAACACAATGTGTAGTCTCGCTGCTACAAAGTTTATTTCTAAAAGATACTGTGGGCAGGGGGATGGAAACACAAGGTTTATTCCATCGCAAAAACACCTTTTTGGCCCATTGTACCTTGTATATGCGCACACATAAATATTGCCCATGCGTCAGATGAGAATAAAATATTCGAAAAAAAAAACATAAATTCAAATTTCACAAATGTATTACAAATTCTGAATAACCATACACCTGCTGTGTGGATCATTGTTTCTCCGAGCGTTTGTTTGTTTGTTTGTCCACCTTGTCAACCTGTATTCGCCGCATTTGAACAATTTGAGCCTTTTGCAAAACTAATTAGATATCAAGCGTCAATTGGCGAGTGCAAAATTGCGCGGATATCTCAATCATTTACGGCGAATTAGTGCCCAAAATAATAAATAACAACAGATGAAACCAACAACTATGCCCACATGAATTATTGAATTAAAAGAAAGGAACCCCAATCACACCCCGAATCGAATTAACAAGTTTCCCAGCGATAGATGTGATTCAGAAATAAGTGCCCAAAGCAGGAAATATCTTTACAAAGAGAGAAATATTTATGAATATGCGAACGGACCAAAGTCTTTTCTTTGACGTCAACTTTGCTGTCATTTCAGGTGGAATTTGAGCAATAATAAAATGATGGAAAATTCTAATTAATTGTGAATAAGGAAATAAGGCATTTGGCTAGCTAAAAATGTCCACTTACCGCTCTCTGAGGGGCAATAGCTTTGCCCCTGCTCCTCCGACGCCACCGCCGCTGCCCAGATTGGACACCTTGAGCGGTATTTTGACGCTATCCGAATCGCTGCCGCTTTCGGCACCAGATCCTCCGCTACCGGCGGGACATGCCCGCGCCTGCTGCTGATGCTGCTGCTTCTGCTGCTGCCGAATGCTCATATTGCCACTGCCCGGAGCCTGTCGCTTTATGTTGCGTCTCTCAGCCGACACAGCGGGACTGATGGTCGCCGCACTGTGGTCGGTAGGCAGGACATTCATCAAGTATTGACCCATATTTTCAGTTTCACTAAAATGCCCATCACCATCACTGCCACCGCCAGCAGCGGCGGCGGTGGTGCACTCGTCCAGCAGCATGCCAAAGTCCCCGAGGCCGCCACCGATTTGCACATCGATGGCGGTGCAGAGGATTGGTATGGAGGTGCCACCATTCTGGTGATGATGGGGTGGCTGCTGATGTTGCTGATACTGGTGGTTCTGCTGCTGCTGCTGTTGCTGCTGCTTCGCCTGCTGCTGGGCCGAGTGGCCGCGCTGCTGATGATGCTGCTGATAGTGCTGATGGTAGCCTCCGGCGCCCAGTCCCAACGCCGACGTGGCGTGGCCGTTGCTGTAGGTCGGGGTCGGGTTCTTATTCTGGTTGCAGATAATGCTGCTGCCGAATGTTGCGCCAAATTTTGTGTCCCGGTGTGTGCCATCTAATGAGATATTCGATAGGAACGAGATCGCAGCCAATCTGCGCCTGTGTCTCGTCTTATTAAGCGATGTTGCCATTAGGCAGTAAACCGATTTCTTCACTTGCAAAATGTAACCGACTCGAAGGTTTTGAGCTGGGGGAGGGTTGCTTGGAATGTGTTTTTTTTTGTTTCCTCGGGAATGTCTTCCTTACCCTCTCTCTCGTGTGGAATGGTCAACCTGCTGCTGCACTCTCTCGCTCTCTCTCTCTCTCTATCTCTGTCTGTTGACTCTTCTGGAACAATCTCTCTCACTCGCAAACGGGTTTTATTTTTTGTAGGTTTCGTTTATTTAAACTTTTATTTTATTTTTCCGTGGTGTGGGTTGGGTGCTGTTGTTGTTTCTTTTCAACAATTACACTTTTTAGTCTCTAAACTCACCGATGAATTGAAAAACAAACTACTTGTACGCGACATGGTGGCAAATTGCAATTGTTTGCACTTATTTATGGGAAAACTGTTTATTAATGGAAGAACAAAGCTCTTTTTATACAATAAATATTAATACTTTTTATTATGCACTTTTATTGGTTTTCGCTGATGCGTTGTTGTGGCGTTGCTTTGGCTGAAAGTAAGGTAGGAGAATAATAGAAAAATGGAATCAATAAAACACTTTGATCAAACGCAGCCCACGGGAGGTGTGCAGGTAAAAGCTTTGGCAGTGTATGGTTGGGAAAAGGTTGTGCGGATGTGTGGCAGATACCACAGTTAAGGGGGTAAAGCCATCATAAAACTAAGTTTTCTGTGGAAAAAACTCTGAAATATTAAGCAGAAAACTTAAAGATTATTTGCTTACTGAATCATAAAAGACTTGTATTAAATTACTTGTTTATGCAGAACTGTGTAAGGATGAATGCAAGCCCTCTATTGTATTCAATCTGGTATGTTCTTCTTCAAAACTGTTTTAATTATGGTGCTGACAAATGAGCTTTCGGTGGCTGCAAAAGCTGCATGCAGCTAAAAGCTTCGTTTGCAGTTGCTGCGTTGCTGCTGCTGTTGTCAGTGTGTCAATTGTGTGGGTGGAAAACCGGCTCGCCGAAGGCCATCTATCTAACACTTGCAGGCTGCTTCGGGCCGCTATTTACTGCCAAGGAACAAGGAAGCGCAGAGCCTTAAAAGACCGGAAAATTTTCCGCTGGCAGATCACAACAAGAGCATGGAAAATTTCGATACCAAAACAGCTGATGGATAGACAGTGTTAGGGGGTGGGAGAGCAGCCATGTAGCGGGGTTTAATTGGAATATGTGTGGACCAATTGGAATGCCGTTCCGCTCATAAGAACGGGTCTTGGTCTCAAGGGAAAGCGGGAAAATCAATGCAAGGGGGGGGGGGAGCAATTTAACTGTGTGTGTAATGGTTGTGTTGGGTGTGTGGTTTTTTGAGTGCGCGAAAATATTTAAGGCACACGTACACAACACATTCATACATAAGTATGACTATGTGTGAATGAATATTGATATTTACCACTAAAAAAATACGAAGACTTCCTATGTTTAATGAACTTTTTTAGAAATGTTTCAAGCGCGTCATTTTGAGCTATTTATAGAATTTTCAACTAATTTTTTTACAGACTTTGATTTTTTTTGCTTGCCAACGCGCCTCTTTTCTCTTCTCCACTTCTCCTTCTCTTGCCTTTTCTCTCTATCTCTGTCTCTTTCTCTTCGCGACCGTAGCGTAGCAGCTGCTTTCGTTGAGTTGCGTAAAATTGCTAAATTAAATATGTCAACACTCGGAGGATTTTTTTAGTTGTTTGATTTTTTTTTTTGCGAACCGAACTTATTTACAGTGTGACCGCGGAATTAACGATACCATATACCTTCAGACCCTCAAAAATATACCAAAATATACCATTTCCCTTTAAAAATATACCGTAATATACCGTGGTCATAAATCATATTCTTCGATTTTCATGTTCTATTTAATTTTACCAGCTTGCAAAGACTTTAAACACTTAAAAAACACTTAAACTCGTTTGAAGAATCAATGCACTATATATATGTGGGCATTTTAATGTATTCACTCTGATTTGAGTGTGATTGTTAGTTGGAAATATATTCACACAATCGTGCGAGCAGCGGTTCTTGGCTTTTGTCTTCGGTATGTAAATTTATGTTAACTATTAACAAAACCACATTTGGATGAGTCATGTTAACTGATAACATGAAAATTATTCCCGTTACCTAATATTACCTAACGTACCAAAATACATTGATATTCAAAGTTATGTAGTCCAAAATGTAACAGAGCTTGCCACTGTCAAGTTAGCAGATTTTTTACAGTGCTGTCAGCCAACGAGACCTTTTGGGCGATAACTTCGATATCTAATAAAAATACCGACATGGCCGATGTATCGATAGTCACGCACGAAACAGCTGTTTTCAGAGACGCGCACGAAAACGTTTTGCGGCATTTGGCGTTTTTGTGAAATTTGCTAATTTAGGCCGCGAAAATGGTGGCAAAAACCACTAAAACCTCAAATGCGGAACTCAATTTTGTAAGTATTGCCAAGTAAATGCAGTTTAACACTCGCTTATGGTGTGATTTGTGTGTTTTGCAGGAAGAGGAAGATGTGCCCTATGAGGAGGAAATTCTGAGGAATGCGTACTCGGTGAAGCACTGGCTACGCTACATAGATCACAAGGCCAAGGCGCCCAATAATGGGGTGAATCTGGTGTACGAGCGCGCCCTGAAGGAGCTGCCCGGCAGCTACAAGATTTGGTACAACTATCTGCGAACGCGCAGGAAGCAGGTGCGGGGCAAGATACCCACGGATCCCATGTACGAGCAGGTGAACAACACGTTCGAGCGGGCCCTCGTCTTCATGCACAAGATGCCGCGCATCTGGATCGACTATGGGGTATTCATGACCACCCAATGCAAGGTGACGCGCACGCGGCACGTCTTCGATCGGGCGCTGAGGGCGCTGCCCATCACACAGCACGGCAGGATTTGGCCGCTGTTCCTGAAGTTCGTGCAACGCTTTGACATGCCCGAGACGGCGCTGAGGGTGTACAGGCGCTATCTGAAGCTGTTTCCGGAGGACGCCGAGGAGTATGTGGAGTACCTGCAGCAGGTGGAGAAGCTGGACGAGGCGGCCCAGCAGCTGGCCGACATAGTGGACAACGAGCACTTCGTGTCGAAGCACGGCAAGTCGAACCATCAGCTGTGGAACGAGCTGTGCGACCTCATCTCGAAGAATCCGCACAAGGTGCACTCCCTGAATGTGGACGCCATCATCAGGGGCGGCCTGCGGCGGTACACGGATCAGCTGGGACACCTGTGGAACTCCCTGGCCGACTACTATGTGCGCTCGGGCCTGTTCGACCGTGCCAGGGACATCTACGAGGAGGCAATCCAAACGGTGACCACAGTGCGGGACTTCACTCAAGTCTTCGACGAGTACGCGCAGTTCGAGGAGCTGTCGCTGAACAAGCGCATGGAGGAGGTGGCCAAGAACGAAGAGGCCACCGAGGAGGACGACATCGATGTGGAGCTGCGCCTCTCACGCTTCGAATACCTCATGGAGCGGCGTCTGCTGCTGCTGAACAGCGTCCTGCTGCGCCAGAATCCGCACAACGTTCACGAGTGGCACAAGCGGGTGAATCTGTACGAGGACAAGCCCACGGAGATCATCAACACCTACACGGAGGCCGTGCAGACAGTTCAGCCCAAGCTGGCGGTGGGAAAGCTGCACACCCTCTGGGTGGAGTTTGCCAAGTTCTACGAGTCCAATGGCCAGGTGGAGGATGCTCGCGTGGTCTTCGAGCGCGGCACCGAGGTGGAGTACGTCAAGGTGGAGGATCTGGCCGCGGTGTGGTGCGAGTGGGCAGAGATGGAGCTGCGTCAGCAGCAGTTTGAGGCTGCGCTCAAGCTAATGCAGCGCGCCACGGCCATGCCCAAGCGGAAGGTGGCCTATCACGACGATACGGAGACGGTGCAGTCGCGCCTCCACAGATCCCTGAAGGTGTGGTCGATGTACGCCGACCTAGAGGAGTCCTTTGGCACCTTCAAGACCTGCAAGGCCGTCTACGAGCGCATCATTGACCTGAAGATCTGCACGCCGCAGGTGATCATCAACTATGGCATGTTCCTCGAGGAGCACAACTACTTCGAGGAGGCGTATCGGGCCTACGAGAAGGGCATTTCCCTCTTCAAGTGGCCCAATGTGTATGACATCTGGAACTCGTATCTGAGCAAGTTCCTGGCACGGTACGGGGGCACGAAGCTGGAGCGTGCCCGAGACCTCTTCGAGCAGTGCCTGGACCAGTGTCCCGCCGAGCACGCCAAGTACTTTTATCTGCTCTACGCCAAGCTGGAGGAGGAGCACGGACTGGCGCGGCATGCCATGTCCGTCTACGATCGCGCCACGTCCGCCGTCAAGGAGGAGGAAATGTTCGACATGTACAACATATTCGTGAAGAAGGCGGCCGAGATCTACGGCCTGCCGCGCACCAGGGAGATCTACGAGAAGGCCATCGAGGCCCTGCCCGAGCAGCATATGCGTCACATGTGCGTGAAGTTCGCCGAACTGGAGACGAAGCTGGGCGAGGTGGATCGCGCAAGAGCCATCTATGCCCACTGCTCGCAGGTGAGTTCACATTTAACCAGTCGTTTGGCCATATTTTAAGCTGTTTTTAATAGGTTTGCGATCCCCGCATCACGGCTGACTTCTGGCAGACCTGGAAGGAGTTCGAGGTGCGTCATGGCAACGAGGACACAATGCGGGAAATGCTGCGCATCAAGCGCTCTATTCAGGCCACCTACAACACTCAGGTCAACATGATGGCTGCCCAGTTCGTCAACACGAACACAAATGGCGTGGCAGCCGATGCTGGTGCTGGCTCCGGACCGGATGCCATGCGACTGCTCGAGGAGAAGGCCCGCCAGGCGGCAGCCGAGGCCAAGCAAAAGCCCACCGAGAAGGCTGCCAGCAACATCATGTTCGTGCGCGGCGAGACCCAGGGCGGAGCCAAGGATAAGCATAATACAGTTGTCAATCCGGATGAGATTGACATCGGCGACAGCGAGGAAGACGACGACGACGAGGAAGAGGAGGAGGAGCAGCAGCAACCACCGAATGGAGAGCAAGCTGAGGCGGCAGGCCAGGGCACAACTAAAACCGATGACGAGGGACTCATCATGAAGAAACTGCGCTTCGAACAGAAGGCCATACCGGCCAAGGTCTTTGGCAGCCTCAAGCCAGCAAATAAGTCCGATTCCGATGAGGAATGATCCCGTTTTGTCACTTCTGATTAAGCGAAATATATTACAACTCTCCATTTCTAGAAACTATAAACTAAGTTCCATCCAAATTGTAACAGTTTATCGCATCGCAGCAGGCGGTTTGGCATTACATTTCCCTTCAGTTTCTTTTGAGTCCTGGATTATCTCAGTCTTTTCGCAGCAGCGTCTGGATCAGGCCAGATCTGTATTTTAAAAATTTTTATATTCGGAAAAAAATCCTAAAATTTGTTTGGAACCAGCTGTCAAAAAACAAAAGGGATTTTGAGCTATCATTAAGCTATGCATTCTGTACGCTTGATGAGGGCCCTGTGCGGGCGTGTACAGTGCACAGGCCCCGCCCGATGTGGAGCCTTGGCACAGCTGCAGCTACGCCAATACGCCGCCGAGAAGTGCGACTCAGTCATCAAGGGCGTTGTGGTGGGTATGTACTCGAAGGAGGGCGATCGACCGCCTAAGATGACCTCGTCGGGCGAGAAGTTTGATGATCGTGTGCAGGGGAAGATAACCGAACTCATCCGCGAGACTGGACTCAAGGGAGAGCTGGGCAAGGGTCGCGTCTTTATGAATGTGGATGCGGAATTCCGCGCAGTGGCTGTGGTTGGCTTGGGGCAGGAGGGCGTTGGCTTCAACGACCTGGAAATGATCGATGAGGGAATGGAGAATGCACGCGTTGCTGCCGGCGTGGGAGCACGTGCCCTGCAGCTGCAGGGCTGCACAGATGTCTTCGTGGATTCGATGGAGTATGCCGAGCAGGCGGCCGAGGGCAGCGCCTTGGCCATTTATCGATACAATACCAATCGGCGCCGTCAGGATCGCACACACATTCCAAAGCTGGAGTTGTACGACTCTCCCGACTCGGATGCCTGGACCCGCGGCCTCTTCAAGGCCGAATCACAGAATCTGGCACGCCGCCTGGCCGATACGCCGGCCAACCAGATGACGCCCTCAATATTTGCACAGTCGACTGTGGATGCCCTGTGCCCCTGCGGCATCTCCGTGGAGGTAAGGGGCATGGACTGGATTGAGTCCAAGAACTTGAGCAGCTTCCTAATGGTGGCCAAGGGTAGCTGTGAGCCGCCAGTAATTCTAGAAATCAGCTACTGCGGAACCGCCCCGGAAGACAAGCCGATTCTCCTTCTCGGCAAAGGACTCACATTCAACAGCGGTGGCCTCTGCCTTCGCCCCAAAAACTGTCTATCCATGTACCGTGGCTGCATGGCCGGTGCAGCCTCCTGCGTGGGCGTCATCCGTGCCGCCGCCGCTCTCTCGCTGCCCGTAAACGTAACGGCAGTGTTGCCACTGTGCGAAAATATGGCCTCCGGCATGGCGGCCAAGCCTGGCGATGTAGTGTCCCTCTTGAATGGCAAGACGCTCGGCTTCGTGGACGTCAGCAAGGCGGGAGTAGTAGCTATGGCCGATCCCCTGCTCTACGCTCAGACCACGTTCAAGCCGCGCATGGTCGTGGATGTTGCCACTGTGGGCTATGCCGTCTGTCCAGCGCTGGGAGGAGCTGCCGCCGGAATCTTCAGCAACTCCAATTTCGTATACAAGCAGTTCGAGAAGGCTGGCGCCCTCACGGGTGATCGTGTGTGGCGCCTGCCCTTGTGGCGCTATTACAAGGAGCTGATCTCACCCAATGAGACCTTCGACATCAGCAATCGTGGACGTGGACCTGCATCCAGTTGCATTGCCGCCGCCGTGCTACACGAGCTGGTCCCTTGCGTCGATTGGGCACATCTTGATATCCGCAACGTGGGAATGTTGACACGCTACAATCCTTTGCCTTATTTGCTGAAGGACCGCATGACTGGCCGACCAACGCGCACCATCGCGCAATTCCTGTTCCAGATGGCCTGCCCCGACGGCAAATAATTGTACTTGTTTTTCTTTGTTTATGTTCCGCGTTTATCCAAATTAGTTGTTTATTGAAGTCCCCTAACATTTTAACACAAATTGCCAAGAGGTGCCCCCCAAGAGGTAACACCAACACAATCACACATTTACAATATTGTTAAATTTTAAACCAGAGCTGACCAGACGAAAAGGTTCTACAATTTATTGTTGAAATGCATTGAAAATCGTATGCGAACACAACTGGCCTTTCATCTTATTTGCAAATTCATTTTATTACTTCTTTTTTCTCCAATCTCTTTTCGTGAGAGAAGCCTTTTATTGTTGTACCGTTTTGCTAGAGCTGCACATAACCGTAGAGTTTGCAATAGGCATATTCCGTTACAAAATATGCAAAGCAAAACTGTTAATGTTTGCCCTCGCCCCTTTCGCGAAATACCCTTCTACATAAGTATGTATGTATGAGAGCTCCCTGGAGACATCTGGCCAGCTCATCTGATCTGCATGTTCCAAGTGCACAACAGAGCCTATGGACTCCTTTTAGTCAATGAAGAAGACAAAGAAGAAAGGAGAGAATGGAAGGAGCGAGATTCTGTGCTCTCTCGATCGCTATTACAAATGCTGGCAGTGTGTATTCTGTTTCGTTCGGTGCGGTGTGTCCAGTTTTTTTTTATTGTTTGTGTTTAAGTGTTTTATTTGTTTGAAATCGAAAAAATAGCTTCAAATTTGCGCGAGAAGAATTAAATCGCACAATATGGAAACGGCTACAAAAGAAACGAATAAATATTGCAAGAGAAAAGAAAAGGTAAGAGAAATATAACTTATGTATGTACATGGATGTACAATGCATATTGTTTTTGTGTTTCTCTGCTGTTAATACTGTTTATTCTCAGTGTAAACTGTGTGTCCTTCCATATTGTCTTCTCTTGGTATAGTTTGCTGCTTATTATGTGTGTTTGTTGTTGATTTTATTTTGGGTTAAGTGCTGTGAAGAGGAGAAACTTGTAAAATGCATCCTTTTATTAGATTATCCTGTTGAAGTTTGTGTAGTTTACAACTCTAGTGCTTCTGTAAATCACATTCGATGCAAAGGTTTCTCCTTTAAGGCCAAAGTTTCAACCATGCAAACTGTTTTCCAACGTAGAGGTTGCAGGTTAGATTAACATTTATGTATGTATACATGGCTGTATGCACGTCTGCATGTACATATAATTAGTTTGCTGCTATTGTTCCTAACGTATGCACATGTATGTGTTTCCTCTCACCGCATGTATTTTAAATGTCAATTAATTGAGTTAATTGAGCGAAAGTGCAAAATGTGAACCACAATAACGTTTTATATACAGTTACGGAATTTACTGGCCTCCTCTGCTCTCTCAATCTTGTGCTCTCTCACTCTCACTCTCACTCTCCCTTTCGCCTCATGATTCGCTGCCTTTTGGCTTTTGTTGTTGGGGCCAGCAGCCTTTTGCGAGGGCAGCTTATTAGGCTAATTGCGTGAAGTTGGCTTTAATGAGTCGAAAAACGGTGCCAAGTCGGGCCCTCTCAAAAGGCCACAAAGGGTGCCGCGCCTGTTGTTGTTGTTGGGGGGTCTGTTGTGGCTTTGAATTTATGAGGCGGCTTTAATGGGTTAACTGGGTTAATGCTCATCCCTCAGCTCATCAACTATCCACCCAGGCTCCTACTCACCCTCTACCCACTCCTTCTCCTTCTCCAGTCATTGTCGTGCCCTTTCATAGTTCTCTGGCCTGCAGCTCTGTCTGTCCTTTTTCATCTCTTGAATTTTTGACAATTAAGCAAACATTTTGCTCCCAAAAATGGCTTCATTTTCGTATCAGCTAAGGGATGGGGAAAAACGTCTCTCTCTCTCTCTCTCTCTCTCATATTTGGGAGTCGAAGTATCTTTCGACTTTTTGCACAACTCATTAGGCCATGCAAAATGATAATTTGTTGAAGCATTTTTGCATTTTCCAATTTTGCAGATGCTCTGACAGAGAAATGGAGCATTCTCGAAGCAGTCAACAGGGATTCAGGGCAAAACTCAATCAAAAACAATTCGAGTGGAGAGTCTCTCCATTGGGAAATTATTCTTTGTCCACCAGCCTGGTAATCGAATTGAACAGCTTTCGTTTATTAGAAAAGTGTATTGCCACTTCGTAGTGAATTTCTGCAATTTGCATTTGAATGGATATTTTCTATGGCTCTTCCTACTGATAAGTCACAGAGGCTAAAGGGAAAGGGCGCAGCCCCATCACCACCACCAATCCCCTGCAGTTGGAGTGCAGCCAAATGAATTTGCTAATGAGCAATTGGGCTTGAAACTTTAAAGAGCCTTCCGCCGCTTAGAAGGGATCGGGACCAGGGGATGCGTTAATCATCTACAGCATCAGTGCAGGGAAGCCACAAAAGACCAAATTATGATTATTTAAGGCCAAAAACGTGGAAATTAGAGGCGCGAAATCGGAATTTCGGACTGTTGCCAGGGCAGCTGGCCAGAGCCGCCTCCAACAGAGAGGCAGAACCAGTCGAAAAGATACGAATAAATGATTATTTTCGAGGCGGGGGGTCTGGTTCGGGGTCTGGGTCTGGGTCTGGGCGTGGGTGTTCTCGACTAGAAAGAATTGCAATTGTGATAAAATTCAGCGTAACTAATGCCGACCACAGCAAAATGCGATAAATCGCTGGTTGGGTTTCACCTCGATACTCTACACCATTAAAGGTACATTTACAGAAGTAATTCTTTGAAGATTAAACAGTATGAGAGAGGGTAGATCAAATTTTGCTAGATGTAAGCATTCTCCATCCATCATTTGCGGATGACTCTTTCCATATTTTTGTATATTTTCATTGCTCAATTTCTTTATCCATGCCAGTACTAATCAAAGTTCTTCTAGAGCATCTAGGCTGTCGCTTAATGAGAGTCAACATCTTTTGCTTCCTGGCTCTCCTCTTTTTTTTTGTTGGATATCGTCTCGCTAGAGCGAAGGAGAAGGGTTGGGTCGAGTAGGAGATGGGCAGAGCAGACAGACTTCTGTTGCCTTTTGCGGTCGTCCTGGATGGTTTGTCCCCGGCTAAACTTTTGTCGACTTTCGCGCGGCTTTTTATTCCTCTATTGTCCCCCCCGCCCCCTGCTCCACCACCATCTTTATACTCTTCGTCCTTTCGCTTTTTTTCGCCTTCCCACTCTATTTTTTTTGTGTGTTTGTCTTGTCTTTTCGTTTTGTTTTTCTTGGCTGGTGTTTTGTGTGGGTGTCTCTTGCTTTCTCTGTACATTTTTATGGCATTGCCTTTTGCTTTGTTTCGTTTTTGCTGTTTTTTTGGGGATCCGTGTGTGGAGGAATGGGTGTATAGCGGGACCAAGGCAATTTAGTTTCGCTGGAAATGATAATTTTCACTTGAGCGAGCACGTGAAAATGAAGAGAGAGGACGGACAGACAGTTTGGGTCTCTGCTATAAATTGCCAATTAATGGCAGAAACGCAGCGGCTCTCATTTTGGGGCATTGGGCTACAAATTCATTTACATAAAGTATTCGACATTGGACATTGACAGAATAATCTAAAACTGATTCCTAGTTCCCTGGATATATGGGTGGGTAATGCATGTATTGAATTTCGCCTGAGTTATTTTTGTCTGATTTCAATGCATTCTTTGGCCACTGTGCCAGATCTCTCGCTCTGTCTTTCGCATTCCCTCTGTTGCCTGCCACGCTTCAGTTGGCTGTCGAGCGCCGCATTCAAATGCACTCGATCTAAGCAAAACTCCAACCGTTCTGGTCAAGCTTCGTGCTAAATTCGTTGCGGTTTTTGTGGTTTCCTTGCAGGATGCTCTTTCCTCCTTCACTCGAAAAGAAAAACAAATACGCCTCGAATTTTCAGTTCGTCCAAACAAGCAAAAAGAAGCACATGAATAATTGAGCGTATGTGGTGAATAGGAATGAGTGTGCTCATTGCTGATGCACACACACACAGAGAGAGAGAGAGAGAGAGAGAGAGAGAGAGAGAGAGAGAG